TAATAATAATAATAATAATAATAATAATAATAATAATAAATTAAATCAAAAATGACGGAAAAAATCCATTGATGTGGTTTTCTGATCCCATCTTCTTGCAAATGAGTGAGTATTACGTATAAACTTGGCCTCAAGGGGGAGTTGAACTCGCCACCATTGCCGGGGGCGCATGCTAGCACTACAGCACCAAGGCCTCACTTTGCTACCACTCTTTGTTCGATATGAGCTATCAAACCGTCAGCAACCAACCGTCAACTTGGTGTGGGAAGCGCATTCGGGTATCAAACCCAGTTGAGCCGATAGCGTCTTGCGAGTAGGCATTATCTGGCTATAAAACAATGCTTGAAAAGATGCAGACTGTTAGATGTTCCAGAAGAACTAAAGAATATAGAATGACGTCACAACGACTATGTGAGCCCGAGTGGTGACGTCATCTGGACGCTCATTTAACCGGTCATTAAGATGTCTTCTGTGTGGACTGCACGTCAATTTGACTCTTTTAGGTTCTGACGAAGGCGAAAACTGTTGAAACGTTACCCACGAATACAACCTCTGTTGTACTAGGAGCACTGAGTCGTGAGCAAAAATGCAACCTCAGACGGAAGTCGAACCCGCGTTTCATCTATACCGGGGACGCGTGCTATTGTCTATTGTACGATTTTATACGAAATAAACGTATATTAACAATCTCGTATTTGTTGAACAAAAGAAAGTCACGGAATTTTCCAATCTGAGCCGAGGTTAATCGATAGCCGGTCTTGGGAATTAATCCCAGTCACATACTCATTGTCTCTCACCACCATAGTACTCAAGCCATTCTTTGGTCATACTAAACCTAGCCTATATTGTCACTCCCGTCATCGCATTTTGTTATAATACTTATACATGAGAGCTCAGTAACTTGAGTTTAATATTTCCAATCAAGCAACTGCAAAGGATTCCGTGTGACAATTTATAGTAAAACAGATATTTTTCTGATAGTAATTTGCATGCTTCTCCATGGCTTGAGTGTTCGTGATCAGTCCATAAACGGCCTTCATTAGCCAGAAAATGTGCACCTGAATTTCTCCACTCTACACTCACATCTTCACCGCTGTAAAGAGCGCACCATCACGACGATAACAATTCTATGAAATTACTCACGCTACTATTGGAAAAGCGCGAAAAAATTTATTTTATTCATATGAACAACAAGCTTGTCAACCCAAAGAAGAGCATGATTGCGGTGCCCAACTCATTTTTGACGTTTTGTCTATTCAATCTATACAAATCGAATATCTCTGAAACACTTAAAGATGCATTTATCATCAAAAGCTCAACTTGACAAACAACTTGAATCAACTTCATGAATAACAGATCTTAGCATAATTCTCAACATATACGATTCGAGAGATTTAGGATTTTGGGCGATTGGAGATTCGTCGAGGATGCAGTAAAGAAAACAAGGAACATCTACAACTTGGTGTCCACGTTTCAATTCCACTTCCACTGTGCAATTTCATACCTCGGAAACTTGAATGATAGGCGAGCAGGACGAGAGATTGGTCGTTAAGCGTTACGGATCAAGAAAGTAATGCTGTTGTATCCCACATCCATCAATTGATAGACGATGTTCAATGTTCCGACTTAAGCTGCCAGTTATATATGGAAGGCTTAGCTGCCTTATGTCAAGATTTAGAAAATATTTGTCATGTGTATAGATGATAATCGGTCGTTGGCAAGTGACTTCAACGCTGAATCATGTAAACCGCAAAACGACCACTTACAGAATAGGCAGACTTCTTCACAAAAAATCTATGAAGGTGGCCATGTTTGTCTCGCAATAAGGAAGAGAATTCACTAGGCAACACCAGCACAAAGAAGATCAATGCTACCGGTTTCTCGTAGAACTACCAAGTGATTATCGAAAACTTACAAGCTCCACGTTGTTCAGAACTATCCACTTTTGTTTTTTACGTGGTGCTGAAGTTATTATAAAGTGGCTCCGTAGCCGAGTGGTTGTGATGTTGCTCACGGCGCGCGTGGAGCCGAACTCCACCTCCTCCTTTCCCCCGCTTCTCTCCGGCAGTCAACTATGGAACGCCACAGCAAGGCTATGTTCGAGATTGCAAGGGGACTCACTCAGCCAGATTTTTACGCCGATCAAGAAGATGACGAAAAACAATTGAGTGCTAGAAGTAGTGGCATCCGCACCGCGAAAAAATCATTGTGATGACGGATCAGAAAAACTGCTAAAGTGCTGAACCAGTTAATACGAACTTTCATGATAACTTACATGATTGCGTGCAGTGAGGTGGTCAGATGTGTACTTCATTGAATTTAAACCACAACGAGCTCACCAAGCTTTTCATTTCTCTGGGATCTTTAACTAAGTACTAGACTTATAAGAAGTGTAGCAGCATCGACTCAACCATTTAGGACCAAACCATCTCGATGAAGAAAGCTTTCCACGTAGACTTTCAGTAGTGAATCAACCGTTCAATTCCCTAAGATTTCAATACTTCACTTGGCCCTTAGGAAAGCCCTCTTAGTGCGCTGTAGTAACGGAAATATCTTTATGTCTCACACTTGATCTGACTTATTCGCTCGGCTTGGCTTTGCTGATAGCTTTTTATTGGGAGTTTAGTAGCCATTTGCTAACGTGTATCTGGATTATTCCAAAAGTGGGCATATATATATATATATATGTATATGTATATATATGTGTGCATATATATGTATATATATATATATATATATAGAACCCGGCGTTGATCAATCCCTGAAAGATGCGCCTTAAAATCGTCTTTAATTTAAACTTCGTTTGGGGTGATTGAATGTATATCTGGCTTTTACAATGACTCGCCTCCCGCTGAACCGAATCGGTGCTGCTTATCCTCCCAGATAAGTTTGAGACCACTCTGGTATCAGTTTACCGACCCCGGAGGGATGGATGGCTTGGTGAGTCATGAGCGCGAGATCGAACCATTGACCTCATGTGCGACGCAGAGCACCTCTGACTAGTGCACCTCATGCCCTCTTTATATTCATATATACGTACATATACACATATACCTGCATCCATATATATATATATATATATATATATATATATATATATATGCATCAAGAGCGTATTGAACATGTAGAGGCAATCGTGTTGCACTAGAGTATGAAGAAAAACTGAAAGTACTCTCAAAACAGAGGAAAGTTTATAAGTAAACAATGAAAATCGCGCTCTCTCAAATGAGGCAGCGCGCTGCGACTTCAAGTGCCGCCCGAGAGGGCGTGATTTTTTCCAATTATTTGAAATTTTTCCCTTAGTTTCGGAAAATTTTCTATTTCCGTGTAATTGTAGAAAAGACTTGGTTCTAGTCTGATTGACATCAGTTTTGAATTTTCATAGAATATTATTGAATAAATTCGCTATAGATTTCAGACACCAGCCCTACTACTTTGAGTGAAAAACGGAATTTGCTTCGCTCTTGCAGAATTTTGTCAAGACGTTCCCGAGGTTCCCGAGTGCGTCAATTGACTACTAAACTATCTTTATAAATCAGGGAAAACCAAGTACTGCCATCAGCCTCTCAGATAATGAACGCCGACGGTAAAACGTGATTTTCTCTTCGCTTTTGCTACAGCGAAATCAAGCCTTTAATCGGAAACCAAGCTTACTTTTAGAAACGCTCCTTCTCAAGCTCACTAAGGATGCTAGGACTTTGTTGATGTAGATGTAAGACACAGCAAAGACGAGTGCATAACAAGCTGCACATTTTAGAGGTAAAATATAACTTTCTCTTCGTTGCTACAGCACAGAAAGGAAACCATTTCAGAAACCAAGCCTAGTGTTTGAACGGCAATTTTTTGCAGCTATCGAGTGACTACCAAAAGTCTAAAGAAACACACCTGACAAGAAAACCACAAAGGGATTAGTCCAACAATTTTGGTATATTTAGCTCTGCAAATGTAAATACATCGATAAAACCACTGTGAGCATTCATATGGGCCAGTTATAACGCTATCCTCTCTATCAATGATTGATGAACTCGAATTCATGGCTCTTCCTCACGTATTGATTGAAGCCGAAAGCTTTATTCCTCTTATTTTTCATTCCCAAAATCTCTAGCATTACACCATTTACCCTCGAAATCTAAGCTTTGTAGAAAACTTGAGAACATTTGAATACGTTGCCCAGAATTGTCGCGTTGAATTGTTCTTACAGCACTCCTATTTTGTTCTTGTGCAATATGACGCAAGAAAAAAACCCATTAAACTCTCGTGTCTAAATACGTAGTAGAACAGCTTATATATATCTATCTCAAATTGATAGAACAAAAAAAAACGGTCAAACAGGTAACAGCACCGTGTTCGATCTATGTGGTGGCACAGGAGATTGACCGGGAAAACAGTTCAGCATCAAATGAGGCATGAGTACCAACGGAATCACTTCAAGATGGAGACTTAATCATTGAACAACACTGTAAGTAAGCATTAAACGACAATTAAATACTTATCTAAGTAATGTATTTGAGCATCCAGCAAAAAGAGGAGAGATATACGAGTAGATACATTGACGTATTTACAGTAAAATCAAACCATTTGCACATATGAGGAGCAATAGCTTCAAGCATTTCAAACATAATGAGAACAAAATGGTCATAAAAATATGTACGATTGTGCTGCAACGCCACTGTAACTGGGAAAAAACACATCGAATCATTAGCAACAAATGTCTAAGAAAAAAAAAAGCAACAAAAGTGGAATCACTCAACATCAGCAGAGCCTCTCCTTACTGAAACAATCATACAAATCATGGATGATCAACAGAACAAGAAATTTAGCTCGTAAGTACTTGGTTTAGCTTAGGCACAAGGGCAGTGTCTGCCGACGTGAGATCGAAAGAGATACTTGGTTTTGAAGGAAAAAGAGACGTTGTTGCCGTTGGATGTGTGAGCAAAATCTCACCACTCTGAATCAAAGAGAAAAGTTACGCAATGTTATAGAGAGTTGTGCAGATTTTTTGCGTCAGTCGAGATTCGAACCCGTATTTCACGCTATCCAGTGGCGCGTGCTCTAGTCCGCTGAGCCACCGACGCTGTCCAGTACCCAATATCTGTCAGCCTCATTGGGTCCACTTCGATATCAACTACCTTGGCCAAACCAATGACGGTTACTTGCTGACAAATATATGCGTTGCAACGGGGAAAAAATTAAATGTAGAGAAAACAGGAGTAAAAGGTATGATTTATGATAACAAACAACAACTTAGCCCTTAATGCTTGCAGATAACTTGTCAACCAGAAACCTCCTATCCAATCACTAGTAGAACTGAGAAGATACATTTTTTACAGCATTGAAGAAATGATCATTTTTCAGCCAGTGTAACTCATTGACTCGCACTATTGATGCACTGAAGGTCTTCTACCCTCAAATGCTGATTGCTCGTTGTTATACTACTTAATTGCGATTTTTTTTGTGGGCGTAAACAGATATTTGATTACCTAAGTTTAATACTCGAAATTGTTGCAGCCAAAAAGTTCATCGTAGCAAATCATAGAAAGATGACAATTCTCTACAGAACTAAGCGTGTTTGGCACAAAGAGTTGTCTAATCCTACACTCTGATACCAACTTCTTCGTTTTCACTAACCGCAAGGCATTATTCTGTGCTAAGTCCCCACCTGAATATTACATTTTCGTCCGTTAGAGATAGTAAACGGCGATGTAACTCAGACAGAGTAAGAGTTCGCCGTGATGAGGACTAGAAGTCCCCAAGGATGACGACGACAGTGGAGATGAGTCGCATGCAGTCGACTGAAAATGTCGAAAATTCAAAACTTTCCTGCTTTTCTACAATCAACAAGACTCAACGAAACTATCCACTACAAGACAAGCGAAATCGAATGAATAGACGTTTTCACTGCGATTAGTTAGAGAAACGTTTGTGACAAATCACTTGGAATGTCATGAATGCGCTCCTCCGCCATGCTTGGTGCCACCTTAAGAGGTCGCTGAGGTGCAACAGCCACGTGGGACGCAGATGTATCCATTGTTGCAGGACTTGGTGAAGCTTCGCATTTTGGCACCAGCTTTTTGTCAGTGCCGTCCTGTGGAACGAAATTGGATCATACGAAGCGCTCCTTCACTTACTAAAGTTGTTCAGTATAAAAATGTCACAGATTCCACAAACTAGAAACTATCTAAAATCAAGTGCAAAAGGGAATAGCAGACTACAGTCTCTATAGAAAAATCAAAACATAGCTCTGGGAACAATGGTTTTGAACAAGTAAAAGCTTTGAAGTTATTCCGGCGTCCAATCGATTACACACGATAATGAAAAGATAGCTACGAGATGTTGAAGAGAATGAGTTCAAATAAAGGCATCAACACAACTAACATTTGACTCCGTGTGTAGCAACGGGGTTGGCACGCCGTTGCTAGTGATATGGTTGTGACGATCGGTGTCTGAAGAGGTCGGCCGATGCACCAGATTGTAGCAACGGAGCTGGTCCTCCGTCGCTAGTGAGTTGAACGTGCTGGTTGATTGATGTCGCTGATGGATGCTGCGGTTGATGTAATTGAATATCAGATTTATTATAGGGAATATAAAGACAAAGACAAAGACAACCTGGAACATATATACATAAATACAATAATATCACAACAAGAGCATCACTATAATACCGACGTATAATTGCGAATTCAATAATGGAGGAATGATGAGTAGTTTGCGGGGCCGGACTAGGCGGCGGACCTCGGAAAGCAGTTATGCTTGCTTCGAGCAGACCTGTACACCAAAGGTGGGGACCAGTGGGTGATTGAATGTATTAGGAAACTGGGGGTCTGTATGCAAGGGCTGGACCCATCCCCGGTAGCGGGCCAAACAGAACTCCAAAGGACTTGGTCCACCGCCGTAACTCCAAGCTCCGCTCACAGAATATAGGCCTCGTCTATCGACACAAACACTAATAATCAATAGGAGGCAAGGTCGATGGACAATGTGGACCACATAAACAGCAACGAGGGCAGAGTCAGAGATCCAGAGTCAGGACAGAAGCGAAGAACCAAAGGGAAAAAGGTGGCGGAGTATGGCAAAGGGAGACACGATCGATCACAACGCCAGCACGACACGATACTAACCGCCACTCCGCAGAAGGGGGCGGCGCGACTATTGGTTGGATCCCGCAGCGATGTTCCTGGTCATGGTATTGTCCACGATCGCTCTCAGTTGCTCAGAGGAGTAGCGAGCGTTCCGTGAAACGGTTGCTACACCGTGTACGGACCCTTACTCTTTTTCTCCTTCACCTTTTCGTTTTTGACATCTTTGTGTTTCTTTTTATCATTATTCATGGAGTCTTTCGCACTTTGATCGAAGCATACTCTAAAATAAACATTGTTTCCACTGTATCAAAAACACGCCCAGAAAATTTACTGGATATATAGCAGAAAATCAAATTAAATCAGTACATCTTTTCGTCAGCCTCTGACTTCTTCGGACGATTGAAGGCCGTATCCGTGTCACGCTTCTTTCGTTTACCGTCTGCTGAGTCACAAAAACGCTGTATCAACTCAAGAAATGAAGGTGCAACATCCGACATTGCGAAAGTCATCTCCTGCTGGTGAATTGAGTGTTTCTCTAAAGGGTTTCGATATCAAAACAATCAGATGCCGAAAGCAAATCATCAGTCTTACCCAATGTGAGATTTAAGTGATATTGCGCAAGATAGGGTTTAACATGTGGTGTGTTGAAATGTATTATGAGTTTTGGTGTGAATGAAGCATAACCAGTTTCTTCAAGCTCAAACGGTGGCTCTTTGAGCACACGAAATGGATTGCCAAATGTCGGATGCAGTTCAATTTCTACCTAGAAGAATTCCCATTATGAAAATCATGACGAATGCTATTGAAATATGAAGATGAAATCATTTGATTATCGGTATTTACTGTTATTTCGATAGTTTTATGATAGAATACATCTCTACAAGTGCAATTAATCAAAAAGTTGATGAAACGAAGTCAAGACCAATTTTTTCTTTGGCAAGCCAAACACGACACTGTTCAATTTAGTTGACTTAACAAAGAAAAAACGGTGAATTATTGAACAATGTCGAGGTTTAGAGACAGCTGATCACATGAGTTGAAACCTATGATGAACTTTATACAACCATGAAACAGTTCACTGCTTTTCTGATAAGCAGGGACGGAAATACAACATTAAGACTTCTTCGAATGCAACCAAAAAAGTTGGGTGGTGAGCAAGGATTCGAGTTCAAACGAGAGTTGAACACGCGTTTCGCCTATACGGGAGCGCGTGCCACCACTACACCACCCAGGCCACCGCTTACCCACCACTCATTCTTTAAGCACTCTCTATCATAGCTCTCAGCCATCAACCCATAAACCCAGTCAAGCTGAAAGCTACTGTGATATGTGATAATCAAGATCTCTAAAGTTGACAGCTATGCTAGAAAGATAATGAAGAATGAGTGGTGGGTAAGCTGTGGCCTCGGTGGTGTAGAGGTTACACGCGCCTCATGATGGGTGAAAAGCGTGTTCAATAACCGTTTGACGTCGAATTTTCGGCTCACCTCTCCATTCGCTTAGGTGCATTTGAAACATCATAATAGTGCGAAGAAAGCAGTAGAAGCATAGAATTTTTGAATAAGACTTATCAAAAATAGATCTCGTTGCTAAAAACCTTGTTTCTGATACGGGACAACAATTCACAGTTCTTTTTATGTATTTTATTCAAACAACTTACGTTTCGCCAGTTTCGCCTTTTCGAAGCCTGGAAAGATTAAATTTACAATCTAATTACCAAAACACCTCCACTACTTTAACAAGAAAACTTATGGATTTTTCCCAAAAACAAACAAGATCTAATCTTTGCAGGGCTCTGACGACGGCGAAGCCGCTAGAACATCGGCTGTCGAAATAAGTTCTATAATAACAGCCTCATAGTTGGCCTAGAAAAAACTGTGATTTTTGAAAAACGCTAAGGTTGTTGGAGTCACTGGTCTTAGGCTGACCTGACAATATTAATCAGTTTGGAAAGCGCATGAGTACAAACACGTAAGACTTAATGGTGAGAAAAAACGCACCTTATTGATAAAAGTCCTATCGGTGAGTTTCGACCCAATAATTGGACGGACAAAAAGTCCATCGGAATCAATGATTATTAGGCAAAGGCTTTTCGAAAGCAAACCACTCATGACCGATTAACATATACATAACAATAGCTGACAGCAGCTCAAATAGAGAAAAATCACACCTCACGGAATATCTATTATTAATGCATCAGCTTTTGTTTGATCAAAGCGAAGCCATGAAGGGATTTGAACTATTCCCAAGTTAAAATAACCGCCTATCACTACTATTTAATAAAAACGCTGAGATCACGCTCACAGTTATTAATCTAATAGAAATTTTTTTCAAGAAACAAACCTTCACATAGGTCACTTTAGAATTTCCGCCCATTTAAACTGAAAGACATTAGTTTGCTGCTATGTTTGTACACGTCTGAAACTAACTTACTGAATAAAAAATGTCACTAAAAAAGAGGAGCGCTTGAGAACGTTAACGAATGAAAGTAAAAACAACGAAGATAACGGAATAACTTCAGAAAAATCACGTTCCCAAGCCTTGCATCTAAGACCTGAGAGAAATTTCTTACGGATAAACGAAAATGTAAAGGAATTCTGTCACGACAAACACTAAAAACGCTTGCAAATTAGCTTACTATCACAGCGTAATCCTGAGTGGACGAACTTGAACTCTAATCGGAAAACTCATGAGGTCAAAAGACTATAACTATGCTACGGCGATGCTGAACATAGTGTGATAATGGTACAACATAGTTTGAGCCGTCAAGGTCTAAGTGCTAGACAAGCGTCTGTTTCGTCCTATACATGGACTCCTCAGTAGTACAGCCCTCAGTTCAGCCGATCTCTTAAGGCTATACTCCTCTATGAATGGATACGAAGAAATAGAGGAGTAAAGCCTCAAGGGATTGTCTGAACCGAGGGACTGTGCTACTGAGAAGCCATGTATAGGACGAAACAGGCGTCTGTCTGGCACTTAGACCTTAACGACTCAAA